AAGAATATCGAATGTTCCAAGTTACCACGAATGAGACGGCTCTGTGGGTGTGTTAGTGTTTTTTTTTTTTCCACGTGTGATATGAATACAAGCCAATTACGAAGGTACGTGTACCATTAGGCAAGTAGTTATGCCATAATCTAATAAATCCAAAGTAAAAAATATCTCAAACAGCTGTTAGTGTTCTATACATTTTGAAACTAAAGTGTTGGACAACTTATAAGGATCATAAAGTTGAAAAATTTACAAAGAGCAAATATTAACTCAGTAGAAATAATAATTTATTTAATACTGTTTTATTATTCATAACGCAATATTGTTTTATTAGTCATTTCACTGATTAATTAAATTAATAAATTATTAATTATAAACTGAGTTTATTCATACACTACTGAAAAAACAGAACACAAATATTAAAAAATTATTTTCCTGTATTTTACCACTCAAAATTAGAGGAGTTCATAAGTATCATTTTTACATACTTATCATTAATCATTAATTTTTTTCATCTGATAGAAATTAATTATTTTCAATGTTACACAAAATAATGATCATACAATAGATGTTCGTTATAAAGATTCCTTGCATCCTATAGGAAAAGGACGTTATAACGAATAGTCGCTAAAAAGAAAATGGATTTAATATATTCTCATCAGATGTAGGCCTTTTGCACAGCTGGTGTAATGAAATGGCTATAACTGGTGGTCACTACAACGGATGTCCCCTATCTATTTATGCATCTTTTACTATTGAATGAGGTTTGATTGGTGATACAAGAATAAGCTCTTCAAATATCTTGAAAAATTCACCGACCTGCTTATAGTTTCACAACCTTCCAAACGGAGCCTACTGAATTCTCGTACATGAGAATAAATGAAACCATATCTTAAGTACAACAAATGAGAAATTTTGGGCACGTTATAGATAATTTATTCTAGACGAAATTTAAAAGCAAAGGATGATTTCAATATGGTTAGACACCCTTCCCAAATTCACAAGATAATGTCGGCCGCAGAATCATCAACTGATACATGTTGGTACCACAGAATTTTGTATCAACATTTCCTCTCTTCAGTCGCTCGATATCGTCCAGGAGAAGATCCAGATCACTTGTATGTTGCTTGCTGTATGTACTACCACCCGGCTTTGCGTCCAAACTTTGGATAAAATCCAGAATACATCCGATCTCTTTCCCATCAAAGATGTTCAAGAAAGAGATGGAAATCACAAGGAAAAGATCAGCTCAAATATTTTAAGAAGCGACGGACGAGACGCAGTTGTCTGATCTACAAAAGAAACGTGACATTGTAAAACCATCTTTTGACTTAGTCGCATTAGACGATCACAGTAACCCTTTGGGAAATGTGAATGAGTTAAGAAGTTCCTTTTTGGTTCGGCATGAACAAGAAAATGTAGATAAGCTAAATGACATTTCGTACCAACCAGACTCGGAAGGTTTGCAAATGCCTAAAAATTCCATAGGAGAATTGCCCAAGACACCGAGTAGTGTAAATTTACCAAGGAAAGTAGAAGAATCCCCAGTTTATCATTTATCTACACTAGTGCCTGATAACGTAAGGGTCAAAGGAGATTAAATATAGCTACTTCATGAATGATGTAAATCAATTTATAATGAAGTATTTTTTTCTGATCTTAAAGTCAAATTAAATGTACATGTTTGTTTTGAGGTCAAATGTAGTAGTTTTCATCCAGCTATTGGGTTACCATTGAGAGATTATCAAAAACGGAAAATTAAAAATATGCAGGGTTTCCCTTTTCAGTCTGGCTAGATATATAATTAATATTAAACTTAGGAATGTATATTCTATATTACATTTTTCAAAAAATTATACGTTCTTTATTTGTATGTGTATAATTAAGTTTATTATATATATATATATATTGTTTACTGGCCTCAATATAGTTCTTGTTACGTTTATCCTTGGTACTTAGCCCAACATTGTGGGAAAAAAGTATTAGTGCTAATAACTATTAGTTAGTTTTATTTATTAAGACTTGCTGTTGTAAGGTACTAGCAATTGGAGTTCTGAAACCCCCCCTGCCCACCCCCGCCCCCCCCGGGAGGGTAGGGAGTTGTGAGGATTAGACATATGCACCCCCTCGGACTTCCAGGTGCTTAATGAGAACTTCCTGTTTTGTTCAGAGACAAAATGGACAGCAGAACTTTGAAAAAATGTGCAGCGGAAACCCCCCCTCGTGTGGTTTCCGGCAATAAGGACTAATTATTCTCTTTCCAGGTTTTTAACAAAACGAGGAGAGAGCTTTGTGTAAAAAAGCTTTTGATGCTGTAAAACAAAAGATAGCGGACACATTTTAGCATCCTCGCTGCGTCAGCGACTTTTGTTTAATTTATGGCTGTAATGATTCAGTTATTTTTGCTATTTAATCAAGAATTTCTAATTAAGTTTTTTAAAATAAATATTTTAAAAGGCAACCTGTCTTTTCTTGCACTTGCACCCAACACAGGTGTTTCTGACATTACAACTGTCAACTGTCAACTAATAACGATGCAAAAAAATACGATTCATAGTCATACATTTTTCAGTCTGATGCAATATGAAACCCACATAAAAATTCTCTCTCACTATATCAGCAACAATCATACGCAGTTTTTAATGATTTTCGTCTTTTAGTCAAAAGGTCAAAAAAGCTAAAGTTCCATCCAGTACTACTTCACCTATATTCAATTTTAGTTGATTTGATGTGGTAAAAAATTGATTATAATTGATCAGAAATCAATAATGCAAACAAACACACAAACAGACATTCTTCTTTATATATGTATATAGAACTTGTAAAACTTAGAAATTTTTTATTAATAAAACTCTACGATTTGAAAGCAAACTGTAGTGACACATTCAGAATAATGCATTTTTATCTCCAATGCGCAAGAGTGTTGCCACTCGGATAAATGAGTGCGAAAATTAGTTTTTTTCCAGAGATTTTTAATTAATAACTCGGTTGATTAAAGTCGTACGAAGATGGGAACAGTCAAAATGGCTTCCCACGAATTTTTGGAATCGGAAATAATGTTTAAGTTTTGGCAATGCTATTTTTTATTTCATTGGAAAACTTAGAAACTTTTTATTAAAACGATTTGAAAGCGAGCAATGGCAAAACACTTCTCAAAATAAAGCAGATTTTTTTTTTATTTCCATTCCAGCATATGAAACTGTGTTGCCACTCGAAAAAATGAGGGTAAAAATTAGCATTTTCAATTTTTTAATTAATATCTCCGATTTTAGCTTTTTTTTTTTTTTTTTTTTTTTTTTTTTTTTTGAAGGGGGTAATTAGTGGACATTGACCGTTACCAGGACCCAGAAAAGAACTGTAGAAGGTTTGGTGATGATATCTATAGTAGTGACTGAGTTAATCGTAAACAAACACACAGACATTCTTCTTCATACACATAGATAAAGACTGGCATAGAAGCCTGTCAATGCACCATTACTGCTCAGTCAATGTCATTGTAATTAATGTAAGTTAAATTACAGAAGTTTGATACTGTTCATCAAAATAAAAATTTCTTCATCTTGCAGTCAGTCGCTTTCAAAACAGAAACTGACAGTGTCTGATATGTCTGAACTTTCACTGACTTGAAGAGAAAACATACTGCATTTGTTTTAAGCAAATTACAATAGTTTCTTCAATATTATTTGCTATGTCTATGATTACATGCTTCACTGTGCCACCAGAGAGATATAAAATATCTATCTGATTTAGCTGGTTTTTTTTACCACAGATGGCAACATTTTCATTGCAGGAAATATTAACTTTTCCACAAGCATACGAAGATATTGAGCTTCAGCAATTAATTTAGATATTTCATACGAAGCCATAACTAAATTCAGACAAAGACTCCTGAGAAAAATTCAAAGACACAGACTACTATTTGCTAGCTATTAATACTTTCTTCTTATTTACAAATATATGTGATGGACAATACCTCATCGGCCGTTCGTTAGTGCCATTTTCAGAACTCGTGCTTGGCTGAATGACACTTTTTGTTGTTTGATGAAAAATTTATCCATTGATAACTAAGATACTATATAATATTACAATTAACAGTATATAATTACAAAAAAATGTATGCAGTATCTTAACTAATAATGATAAATAATCACTGAGAGTGAGAATAAAGCTACGTGTCACCACTAGAAGTTTACTGGAATATGGCAGCAGACCCTAGCAATGCTGTCCCCACTCTAGTTTAGACTCAGCAGCATCACTATCATATAAAATATTAATTAGGTCTTCTGTTGCACTCCAGTGAAGCCTAATCAAGTTTCAATGGTGCCATAGATAGCGTTAAAATAAGAACTATACTAATAAATAAATTAATAAGCAATAGGTTTCAGTATCATGCGTCATCTATAAAGACATTAAATTTCTACATCCCGATGTCATTTAGTGACAAAACTTAATACAGTTTCATATTACCTGATATGCAAGATTAGTAATTTTGTCAACTTTATCTGTGACCTCACATTTTGCTTTCAGAACCCAGTGCCATGTCATGACCTAACATTTGGGAAACTTTCCATTGATTGAATCTTAACAAAAAGTTCTACAAATGTGTAGTAAAGTTAAGACAAATCGCATCGAATAATATTTAATAAAAAAAATTATACTGAAAATCACAAGAAGTGACAGAATGCACATTTTAAGTTTCATTATATCAATAAATTTCATATCTTTGCTGGAAAACATTTTCCTTTAGTAAAGGCTAAAATTAAAAACTGGAAAATTGATAGATGTGATGAAAAACCGGGAAAGTTGGCAGTTAACAAAATAAGTATGTCATGAGTTTTTTTTTTTTTTTTTTTTTTTTTTTTTTTTTTTTTTTTCCCATACAAGTATAAATTAGAACAAATTATTCAGAAGATATAAAGTTAAGTAATGCCCATCAAAATTAAAAAACTAAGAAAATGTTAATTAAAAATCAGTTTCCACACGCAAAACACAATAATACAAGACAATTTTTAAGAGAAAAAATTTAATATTTAGCATTCATCAGGATGATGTTTTTGGTGGCCAATCCAAATGGATGCACTGAAATAAAACAAAAAAGAATCAAATATATATTTATAGAAACATATTTAACATGTTTTTCAAATTTGAAAAAACATCCCATAAATACATAAAAAAAATTTAAAGACAATGCATACATATACATATATATAGATATAAATCCGGTACATTTGAGATTTACTTTTTTTTGGTTTTATATGAGTTTTAATGTAATGGAAATTTGTTTATTTATTTATTTATTTTTTTTGGTTTTTGATCTCAAATTTAACTCTTTTGCATCGAAGTCGCCCGTAACACCCGTTCATTCAGGAAACGGCAAACTGCCCCAACGCCTCGTTTATTTTCTACCTAGTTCTTTCCCTTCCATGTTAGTGTATGGCTCATTGGTTTTGTGAGTTGTTAAAAGACATGTCAATCATTCTTTTGAAGCAAATAAAGGAGAAATACAGAAAGCTATTGACGTTCGCAGGTGCAATTCGGCGCTAAGGTGAAACTGCACACAATGGATGAAACTGCAGGGGGAAAGGAAAACTATTCCAAGGCAAATTCGTAAACACGGGCGTTTTCGATGTTTGTTGAAAACAGATTTGGTCGTCTCTCGATGCAAAAGAGTTAACAGGAGAACGAAGCACATTTTCGAAGCATACAACTTTCATGAAGCTTTATTCATTTTCCCCTGATGAGTTCTGAATTGGAGTTTTTAATAAAAGGAGATTAATTTTTATAGGTACTTAGGAATTAATGCCACCCGCAGCAGAAGTTGCACTGAAGTGCCAATAAAGAGCAATCCTGTTGTTCGCACACAGTTAATCTTTTGGATTCCTTTTTGCCTTGTTGTTTGCTGATTTTTGACACCCATTTTTTAGTGCTACGAAAATGCGTCTTTGGGATTTGCCGAACACAGAAGAAGATGCAATTTTATTTTCTCAGGAGTGAAATATTTTACGCAAAAAACAAAAATGTACCAATTTGCTTGATATGAACTTTATTTTGGTAAACGTACATTTTGGAAATGTAATTTTAAGACAGTGTGATCAGCAAGTGGAAACTTAGCATCCTAAAGTTCATAATAAATACAATTTTATTGATCCTGATACAGGAGTTCATACACAAACAGTCGAGAGAATGTAGGGCAGTGCTAAATGGAGCAACAAGAGACATAGGAGGACAGCGAGACATCATTTAGAATCTTACTTAGCAGACTTCATATGGCGACAGCACCAGGTCAAAGAAAATAGGGACTGTTTTGAATCTATGTTAAACTTTATATCGGCACATTTTCCACCGAAATCCAATTGACTACTTTGATTTTAAATAAAGTGTTTTAATTTATGATCTGTCGCAAAAATTTTAGGTAGATTGGCGGCACCTAAAAACCGCCAAATATGCAGCTGTGGTGTTGTTGATATGTAAGTACTTTTTTATATTTTTATTATCTTGTATATATTTTCCCTTTTTGCATTTTTAGCTTTCGAGTTTGTACTACTATGATCATTTTTATTTTGAATTGTTCAGATATTGTGTTTAACTTCTTATACAAGGATGTATTTATTAATACTGTTGAGAAACTGCCCTGCTTTGACTCCAGTTTACTTTTAACTTTTGATGCTCTAAGTTTATTTTACTTCAATCCTATAGCTATAGTGCAGGATGGGCATAAAAAATTTGTTTTCAATTTTTGCCTCTTATTAAGTCTCTTTATGTAATTTATATATATATATATATATATATATGAAAGAAGAAAAGATATGAACTCATAAAAATATGATTAATAAATACAAATTCTAAAGAGCTGTAAAAACATAAAGGAAAACAATACAGAATTTGAAATTTTTCATCATTTGTCTTTGTAGTTAATATGAAAGTTTTTGCAGTTATATACAAAGCATAATATTGGGTTATCAGGAAAGCTATGTGATTTTTGGTGATGAATACAAATGAAGCATTATAAAAACAAAAATTCACGCAATTGTATGAGCACTATTTTGTTCCATGACTTTTTTCATCTCTCTCCAGCAGCTGGAAAATTACTTTTTAAAAAATATTGTTAGATTTATTCATAAAGAAGTTACTGAGATGCTGTCTGATAGCCTCCAAGGAAATGAAATCCAGATCGTTTAAAGAAATTTGAAGTGACCTGAGAAGACTGAAATCCAAGGGCCAAGGTTAGTGAATGTAGGTGGTGACATAACACATCCCAGCCATATTCAATAAGCCTTTACCTGACATTCATCGAAATATGAAGTTAGGCATTATCATGATGGAGGAGAAAACTTCTGACAATTAGGCAATTCTGGGACTTTTCTTCAAGTTCCTACTTTTAAATCTGTCATTTGGAATCAATATTTTTCCAAATTTATAGGCTGATTTGTGACAATACTTCATAGTACAAGCACAAAGTCCGAAATCCGGACATCCATTATCCGGAATGATCTAAAATCTGGACCTCAAAAAAAAAACCACCAATAAAACATTTTTCATTTTTTCTCGTAGGCTTTATGCATGCACATTTGATTTCCCCCCCTCTGAGCATAATAAAACATCTGGAGGGTTCCGATTCTTAACTTCACTTTGACACACTAAATAAAATACCTTGTTATTGAAGAAACAAAATCATTTTAGTATAAATTTGTACGATCAGCAATTTGGCTCCATTGCTGCATATCTGCTTGGCACACATCTCAAACAAACGAAACATTCCACATAAATACATCGTTGATCTGAAGCCAACCTGGCAAATCATTATTTATTATACTTTCCTTTCATCACCGCATGTTTATCAACACATGACAACTTGAGAAATGACTCGTGTAGCGATGCCTAAACAATTTTTTATGTTAGTAATTGAATAACAAAGGAGTATGGCAACTTATTATGTTGACATTACGCTTGGTGATGATTACAGATTTAAGTTAAATGTGCTAAAAAAAATGTTTGACAAGGAAAAATTTTAACAAAAGTTTTCTTTCCATGTGCTAAAAATAGATTTTGTTGATGATACTCATACATCCAAAGATTACATTTACGGCTATTTGAATTAAGATAACCTGATTTGTTATTCACATAAACCCAGAACTAGCGCCAGGGCTCATAAGGTGGCACAGGGTTGCAGAATTTAGGATCCACAGAGACATCAGGCAGTAAGATATCTAGAGCCAGCTCTCAAAAGGCTTAAGTATATGTGGGGGAATTTATTTATTCAGAACTCTGATAAGCATTAAGCTTGTGCAAGAAATGACAAAAGTATAATAAATAACTACACTAATACAATCAAAATTCAAACTTAATCATCTAGGTGCACAACAGAAGCAACATAAAATTTAAAGGAACAACTTGTCATTAGTCGTCAAGCTCATGATGCATAGCCAAAATATGTATAGTGAACGATAGCTAAACTTGATGAAAGGTTTTTCAGATATCGCAAAGGTGAAAATTTCCAGTTAACGGTATTTTGTATAGAAATGTGGAGAAGTGGTAATAAATGAAGATGATATAAAAGAAGTTTTTTCATTCTGTTGACAATGCTTCTCATCCTGATCAGTTAATGAATGACGAAATCTGTTAGTATGATTCTAGATCCCAGAAAATACTGCTACCGATAGTGAAGAAAGTGACAGAGAAGTTACTGAAAATGAAAAAAATTTTGATTGACAAGTTAGTCAGAATTCTCGACAAAGCAGTTTACAGGACTTCAACAATGCAACTGAACAAGAGATTATGTCTGTCTACAGAATTAAAAAACAAAGCAACTTAGACAACTTATATTGAAAGAAATATTTAATATGGTAAACAATAAATATTAAGCTTTTTTTGTAAATTTTGATACCCTTTAAATCATAGATACTTCCTTCATTATTTCATAAATCCCGATTTTATATTTTTAATTTTATAATTTCTACATGCCATATTACTAGATTTACTCTGATGATCTAATATCCAGAAAAATCAAAAATCCCAAATCACCGAAATCCCGACCAGTCCGGATTTAGGACTTTGTACTGTATACAATTCTTTTGTAGTCTGACCATACAAAAGCCCCTCTCGATGTTACTAAAGGAGGTTCTATTGGCTTACCCTATGACTATTTTCTGGTAACATTATTGCACAGCATCAACTTCTCATCTAGAATAAAGACCTGTTTAAAAAATGTACCTTTATTTTTTTTCCCCAGCAAATAATCACATGCTGAAACCCGATTTTACATATTCTGTTCTTTTAAAATACCATACATCGCAGCAGCTAACGTACCAAACCTTCTTCAAATGGTTATGTACTGTATTTTTGAACTATTTAATCTGTCTGATAGTTCCTTAATTTACAGAGCAGAATTTCAGCCAACAGCTTCTTTTACTAGATACTTGTTTACAGAAGATGGTCGTCCATAGCAGATATCATCTTCAAGGCTGAATTTCTATTTCTATGCTTTAACTTCTCAGTCCACCTTTGAACTATGTCATCAGAAACAGCATTTTGTTCATATATAACATTAATTTTACAAGCAGTCTGACTAGCAAATTTTTTTTTTTTTTTTTTTTTTTTTTTTTTTTTTAAGCATAATGTGATGAAAATTAACTTCTGGGTTCTATCTTTTTAGCTTTGCATTGAAACAGAAATTATGTCACAATGCTTGCAAGAATTACAATTGTTATATACCTCAAAGATTGTATTTAAACATTTACTTCAATCAGAGTCATTCCTTATTAATACTAACAAAATAATTAGAAGAAATCCACTTTGAGTTGAAAAACACCTTTCCTGATGACCCAATACAATAATCCATTCATGTCTTTGAAACACAATAATGTTTAACATTGGCAAGAGATTAAATATGACAGAACTGTCATAAAATTATAATATTAGATGAAAATACAGTTCTAGATTTAATGAGAATATAAAAGTGAACATATAATACTTGACTATCTTATACATAATAGTTATGTGCCACATGTCATGGATTTTTTTTTTTTTAATGTACTCAGTGTGAAAATTTTTCTCCAACATAAATTCCAAACATCAAATACGTTTTCTGTAGCAGCTAATGAGTTTATTCTGTTTTTGCAGTTTGTTTCAAATTTCAAATGCTCAAACATTTGTAACTCAAAAGGCCATTCACATTGTGGCTTAGCTGAGCTAATGGAAACATCTGGTACAACCAACACAGCTCCAACACCAGTTTTTCCTTATAGCAGAGCAAGTTGAAAAATCGAAACTTTGTGTACAGCGGAGCTAGTTGATACATGGAACTGAGTCCGTTAGCTCCAGATAAAACCTATTCTGACTGCCTCTTAATGGATTCATTGGGAATGGCCAATACCTAATGGTCATTTAGTTGCCTCAGCAACGAGAATATTTTTGAAGGTGCACCAACTAACTTTACACACCATTAAAGTGAACTGATCCATGTTAACAGAAAAGACACAAGAAATAGAATCATAGGTGAATGAAAAAAGTGATTATTTTTCCACTGAAGGGCTATATGAATTTAAATTATGCCACAGAATGCTATATCATAATATAAATGGAGAAGATTTTGTTGAAGGTACAAAAATTTATCCAAAGAAGCATATGGATATCAAGTTAAAAATATTTTCAGTATCAATGAAACCAATCTCTTCTTTCATTTCCTGTGTTTAAAATGACTTTCTCTGAAGACCTTCAGTATCATGGTCAAAACCACTACTATTTTATGTTGAGCAAATAAATATAGCTGAAAGGGAAGGCAAAACATCTACTCATAAGAAAGTCACAAAAAACAAGATCTTTCCAAATGGTTAGTGATATATAGCAAATTGAAATTCATTAATTATTTGCTATTAGAAGCTAATTATTTGAAATCAGTTTCCATTCAGAGGGGATTTTCTGCAGCGAACAGTGATGAAGCCTTTCAAAAATGTCCTCTTGTCATCAGAGACTTTCAGCTATTAAAAATAATCCTAACAATCATAACATTTCATCTCTCTATCAGTTACAAATTGTTCAGATTTTCCACAAATTCAATATTCAAGTTATTTTTGTAAGTATCACTAAAATTCCTTGTTTGTTTCTTAAATATTCATCTCTGAATTTAATTCATGTGAGATTTTAGCTTATCATTTCAGTATGGTTTGACACACATTAGGCAAAATGCAAGAGTTTTGAAATTTCTCATCAGGGAACATGAATCGTATGTTCAAAAAGTAGAAATAAATAAAATTTGTATAGCTGATCACAATTGGACACTTAATAATAATTTGAATTTGGTTCAACAAAAATGATCTGTAAAGCTTCTTCAGTTAGCAAATTAGACTTCCTCAAATACTTTAACAAAAATTTTCTTCTTTAGTTGATGACATTTAATTCTAAACATTTTCAAATTTCTGATAGCTTATTTTTTCCCCCTTGTTTCGTTACTATTTTACTCGAAAAATTGTGTTACATTTGTTTTCGCTCTAAACCAGACCTATCTCTGATTACACTCAAAATTTATTTCAAAACCATCAAGCAAAATAAGGTTGCTTTTGTGGCTAATTTTAAAATCCATAGTTTCTTTAGCATTAAGTCAAAAATATTATACTCACTCACAAGCCTTCTTGTTGCATATCCTGGGAAAAGCTCCCCTTTTTTTGAAAGTACAAACAAATTTCGCTGAAAACATTCTTGCATGTCTTTTTTCTTTTGCTTATATGTACATGTTGCCAGCTAAGTGTCTTGTCGGCTAAATGTCTGTGTCAATTAAATTAAATGTCAATCATACATCCCCGTCGGCTAATTGTCCTGTTGGCTAAATGTCTGTGTTGGTTAAATGACCTGTTGGCTATATGTCCTCATCAGCTAAGTGCCCTGTCCCCGTCGGCTAATTGTCCTGTTGGCTAAATGTCTGTGTTGGTTAAAAGACCTGTTGGCTATATGTCCTCATCGGCTAAGTGCCCTGTCAGCTGAATGTCCATGTAGGCTAAATGCCTTGTCTGCTATATGACCTATCAGTTAAATGTCCTGTTGGATAAATGCCCATCACTGAAATCTAATATATACTCCAAGTTGCACTTTTTAGAGATGAAAAATACAAGTTGAATTTCAGAAATCAGCAGAGTAGAACAAGAGAGATGAAAGCGTCCTCCCCCCCTTTGCTTTTTGACTTGGTATACATGAAAAAACAGTATTTAGTATTTCTGAGCTGTTACAGGTTATGTTATTGTCTGTTGTCACTTAGCTAGCAATTTGAAACTTAATACATTTTTCTTAGCTACTTCTCTCTGAGTCCATGGATAATTTAAACTATGAGCATTAAATTATCAGATACAGAAGTATCAATGTCAGACATTATCATGACACTTAGAAATGATAAAACAATATTTATATAAACTTCAAATTGAATCATAATTTTTCAAAATAAATTTAGAGTAGTATCACACTCTTCACCTTGCTTTTCCTTGGAATAAAAACTGGACAATTTAGAGCATTTATATTTTTGGTATTCTTAATTTTTGCTCAGTATTACCATATATTTTCATTTAGACTGAGTCAACATTTCTGATCTTGCAAGCACAATTTTTGTTGTCATTTTTTCTTTTCCTGCAACTATATAATGTCAGTATTTTGCAGTATTTAATCTGAAGGCTAATTACCGAACAATTTTCATATCTTAATATAAGATCATGAGAGAAAACTCTCCTAATTTTAAAGGAAGTTAAAATCATTATTTTCACACAAACTAAGGTGATAACACAATTACTTACCTCAACATCTAGTTCTAAAATATCAGCTTCTGTATCTAACAACATTCCGAGATTAGGAGATGTTCTCCCAAAATCACCATGTACAAATTCTTTCACATAACTATTAATCTCATTAAAGATAACATAAAATTATAAACAACATTTTTCATAAAAAATCTATATCATGAAGAGAAAAGTAAAAATTCAGAATAGAAATTTTGGTAATCATATAGTATGTGATTTAATGTTTTTTTTTTTTTTTTTTTTTTTTAAGATGTCAGCACTAAAATTGTTTTTTGTTTTAATCATTTATTCTTTATGTCATTCTATCGTATATTAAAATTTAAAAATAGTGTTTTAGTGACATTATCTGAGAAAGAAATAGCTACTAAGTGCTAAAAATAAATAACTAATTACTTGACACTAGAAACAAATAACTAACTTGGTTATTTTTTTTCTTAGTTACACTGCATGCTATGTTTTTACCAAAAATTTTTTGAAATAAACCAAATATTATGATGAAAATCATATAATTAGTTCCTTGTATATCAAATAAAGCCTTTGTTTGCTGAACACACCTTCAGTTTCATTAGCAGATAACTACACTCATGTCCATAAATTAAGGATAATTCGGAGTCACGCGAAAATCGAACTCTAAAAATAAATATATCACCTGTAAAAAATCACTACACACATCTTCAAGAATCATATACAAATTTCAGGAAGTAACCAGATGACACCGATGGTACGTCACAATGACGAGTATAAGAGAGTGATATATAAGGAATACAAGCAAAGAAGTAAAATTGTTTTGCAGGCCCCTTTATGAGCATTTCAGTGCAATAACCGAATAGTTATGACACAAATGACGCATTTGAATGATTTTTTACGTGGTAGAATTATCGGCCATCTGGAATGTGAGCGTACCCAACTGGAAGTATCAGACGTACTTGGAATTGCCCAGAGTATCATCTCCAGGCTTTGGCAAAGATTCTAAGATGATGGTAATGTGAGTAGACGTTACAGCACAGGTCACCCCAGAGATACAATGCCGAATGAGGACCGGTATTTGCCAGTTACTGCCAAACGAAGCAGGCAGAGCACAGCCTCAGATCTGTCTCGTCAGTTCTCTTCAGCCACTGGTATGACAATTTCAAGGCAGACCTTGTACAGACACTTAGGGCAGATTGGTCTATATGCTCGTAGACCTGTCAGATGCGTTCCACTCACTGCAACTCACTGTCGCCTGCGGTTAGCCTGGAGTAGAGAGAATGCATTGTGGACACTGCAACAGTGGGCTTGTGTGATGTTTTCCGACGAGTCCAGGTTTAGCTTGCACTCTGATTCTCACCGGACTTTCATATGGAGAGCTCCAGATACCTGATACCCATTACCTCCAGATACCCGTTACCACCAAGAAAACATCATTGAACGACACCGTTATGGTGGTGCAGGAGTGCTCATTTGGGGTGGAATTATTCTATGTTCCAGAACTGACCTGCATGTTCAAATTGGAACCATGACAAGCCAAATCTATCGGGACGTCATTCTGGAACAACATGTATATTTGTTTCGGGGCGCCATGGGCGCACAATTTGTATTTATGGATGACAACGGCCGTCCTCACCGTGCAAACATCGTAAGTGAATGCCTTCAATTGGAGGATATCACCCGTATGGACTGGCCGCATTCTCACCAGACTTGAATCCAGTAGAGCACATGTAGGACATGCTTGGCCGATGAGTTGCAGCCCGTCAACCTCCTTCTATATGTCTACTGGAACTTCGGAGAGCATTGCTTTTTGAGTGGTGTAATATCCCCCAAGATCAGATCGATAATTTGATACTCAGATGCCTAGGCGTTGTACGGACTGTATTACATCGTCTGGGAAGATGTATAATGTATTAACAATCAATACCAACCATGTAATATTGGTTTTTTTTTGTAAATCTTTTTTTTTTTTTTCTAACTTGCTCCATGGAGAAAAAAATTGCTAATTTTTTTAATAATATCAAACATATAGCATCTTTTTTGCTCTTTACCTTTTGTTTAATAAATAAGCTTTACAAATAAGTCAAATTTGTTTTGCTTCTAATTCTTCCTTTGCCTGATTTTGCATTATCCTTAAGTTATGGACATGAGTGTAATTCTGAAATTTATTAAAATATTAATTACCAGAGAATGCAACATAATGAAAAAGAAATTGCATGCAGTTACATTTACATTATGATAGTTTTTACCATTATAATCAGTATCTGAAAATGCTTATTTCAGCAGATATAACTTTAATTAGGCTATTTCAAAGAAATATTTTCTTTAAATGATACATCCAAGTAGAATATCCAAGTATGGTGAAAAATTGTATGTGCAATGTAAATGTAAAACACGCAGGAAATGAAATCCTTTCAAATCCACTGAAATACAGCCATGTATCAAAAAAAAAAAAAAAAAAAAAAAAGAATGTTATCTAATAAAATAGCTAAAAGTAAAAAAATATGTTGTAAGGTCACTTTTGGCTCCATCCAAGTGGCTACATGGTGTGATATAGAAGTATATAATTAATAGATAGTTTACTGAGAAGTAACTCAGAAAAGATTTCACATCCAAAGCAGAAAACAGCTTTTGAAAATTTAATACATTTTATCAACAGCTAAACTTATTTACATCAATTGTTTTACAGTTTTGGTACTCTAATACACCTCTTCAAATGCTCTCAATGCATCCCTGTGCCTTAATCCCATGCTGCAGTATAGCAAGTCACTATTAATTCATTAACCTTCATTTTTTTAATTGTTTGCTATGTTTTTTCATGGAATTATTTGTATACAGAATTCCATTCAGATTAATAGAGTTTTCCAGGTCCCTCTTTTGTTGTTTATAAAGACCTAATAATATATAAATTTAGAAGCTTTTCTTTTAAAAGTGCAGCTGTTAAATATCTTCTCTTTTAAAATTACAGTTTTCTAAGATGAGAAACTTTAATCAATAACCTGTAAATCAATGAAAAAATTTTTAACATCGAAATGCTCATATTATTATTAGCATGTTGAATTAGCAATTGTGCTAAATTCGAAAATGAAACCAATTAAAGATTACAGAAGAATTACAGAGAAAAATAAAAATATAGTAAAATGCAATTCCAATACATAATAAAATATAAAGCCAATTTTAAGATTCCATGCAACATCAAAATTTGTATTTTTAATAAATATGATTATTCAAGAATACCATTTAATTAAAAAAATTTAATGAAGATGGAGCTTTCATTTTTCCAATCATTAAAGATTATTCTTCTATTTCAATGTATGCTTGAATGCTGTGGTGCTTAGATCTAACTAAATCAAAAATAATGTATAAAAAAAAATTAAAATTTTTAAAAATTTCTTCAACATAATGCTGACTTCCTGTTCTTTTACCTAATGTCTCTAAAAATCACTTGAGATATCTCAAATTTAAAAACAAAAACAAAAGAAGATTTCTTGTTTCCAATGACATTTTTTGAAAGGGTGTAATATCTCAATTTTTTTATTACTTCCTATACTACCTGAGTACAGTTAGAGTTTTATCTAAACTTATAACTAAAATACAGTATAAACCTTATTATTAACAGTTAATCTAATTCAACATGTATTGCATTTCAGTATTACAATAAAAAACAAAAGTCATAAAGAATTTTTCCCCATAATAACAAATTTATGTAAAGGATACGTTCCAGCTTGAGTTTCAAGCTTTAGGTGCAAAAGGTGACTGTCAAGTAATTTTGCATCAATACTGTGCAATAACCTTTCTCTTGTTGCAAGATTACGCCTGCAAAATTAAAGAAAAATATTTCAAAGAAGCAAAATAAAACAAATCAAAGAATAAAGCAACATAAATGAATGGCTAAAAACCTTGAAATATGGAAAACTAGGAGGTTCTAGACCGAAAAATTGGGAGTTTCTGGGAGGTTTTCCCACTGTGCACTGACACCATTTTAAAAGGATTCGAAATTGACTTAAATTTTCTTCATAATGTATGATTATGATTATTCAATTAATTAAAAAATATTCCAGTGTAAAATATATTAATATTTAATTAGGTATTCTAAATATTATGTTCTTTGGTTAGTTTCATTTTGTAATTTTCTTAAGCTTTTATGCTAAGAAAATCTTGAGTCGGGTAGGAACACTTATATGTATCAAAGTGCTTTTAAATATGATGAAAACAAAATTAACAATTTATGTACTTATTGTTATGTAGGTAAACTGAGTGAAGTACCATATTTTGATGTAAAAGATAATTAAATATAAACTGATTAAATATTGGCTGAATCTTCACAAGATGATGCTCTACAAATGTCTACAGTAGATTAAGATAATTCAGATCAAATAAAAATTAATAAGAAAAATTATATTGAAAATCACTAAAGGTAGAATGCAATGGAATTTGCACAATTAAAGTTTCATTATTTCAGCAAATTTCATGTATTGATGGGAAACATTTCCTTAGTAGTTTTCCTTAGAAAAAGCTAAAAATTAAAAACAAGTTGGTTCAGATATACTTGGGAGACCAAATTATGTGTGAAAAACCAGGAAAGTTGGCAGCTATATAAATATGCATAAAAAAATTAAATAAATTCAAAAAAAAATATTTCATCTTAATATCTAATTCTCTCTGCAATGGTGGCGATATCAATGATTAGAGCAGGCACAGCCAAACTGCAGCTCTCAGGCCTCTTGATTGTGGCTAGCTAGCTGCCTAAGCCTTCCTTAAATATGATGCACCTGTAACAAACAGTAATTTTATTTCTGAAACAGAAATGGTGCAATAATATGCTTTTTTATAAACTAGTAATTTAATTTCTTAAATTATACTATGCATATAATAATTTAATTGATTTCAAACTGTCCACCCTAACACTAATCATCATACAAACACATGAAATGAAAAATAATTCATTTTATGGGAATAAAAATAATGACCATGTTAGAGCAAGTATTGGTCATGGTACGGTATTCATGTGGTTTACTATAATCCAAATAATAATGCTCAAGTGATACGGAATAAAAAAGTACAAATGTTTCTTTTTTAGAAAGCATTTAAAAACATTGATGCTGGTAAAATCATCGTAGCTTGAGATATTTCTCTGTACACTCTTGTTTGAAGATCTTCTTCCTAGCTCATAATAAATATTACACTATTTTTTATATGTTGATAGTTTGGGTTTTTCTTATCCTTTGGTCATCATGTAAGTCTAACATGTTTTTCAGCTCAACAGAAGATTGTACTGTGACTCACTGCCTGACTACTACAAACTTCATGCATTGAACTGTAAGATTCAGTTGAAGTTTTGGTATGAAAATATTCAATTTTGAAATAAGGTCTTTAATTTTCTGTAATAATACATTTCAAAGAAGTGGCCCTTCAAAATGGCATATTCTAGAGAGCTCAAGGGGGACACATGTTTTTGTCTCAAATCTTCAACTGTAAATAATACAAATGTAGACAACTTAACCCGCCATCAAGGGCTGCAAGATAACATAAGACATCACAAGGTAAGTGAAATTCATCTATCAAAATTGATTGGACGATTCATGGTGATGTTCCAGGTTTGGAATTCAACTACACACAAATCAAGCAGGCTTATATCCAAAGCTGGGGTATAAATTATTAAAATTACATAGCAGAAGAAACTGAAATATGGAAAAAAATAAATGCATTATTCATGACATTTAATTATTCTAGACATCCTTCTTCTTGTTTAGTCCACACTTAAAAATTCCTTACACAATGTGTCAGAAACATTGCATAGTGTTACAACATGAACATGTAAAATATTTTATGTTAAATTTCCATAATATATCAAAAAATGTCCATCATAATGAAAGCTCGATTCAGATTTTATCTGGAATACATTTCCTTCAAAAGATGTATTTCAGATACTACATAAAATGCATCTCTTGAAGAAAATTTTGGCAGGAACACTGATGTAAATCATCCTTGATCTTCCCATATATACTGCTATTTAGTTACACTTAGCCAATGAAACTTTTTCAGAATCAGAATTTTTACGAAGTAATAGATGCTACAGGGGAAAAAAAAATTGATGGCATAGCAGATTATTAATATTAATTAGCATTTATTATGAAATGGAAAAACTGGCAATAGTAATTTCTAAGAAACAGTATAGCTTTGGCAAGATCTTCTTTGATAAAGGACTGTAGCTTTGATTTGATAACTTATTAGGTATTTCTCCCACCTTCTTAGCATACCTTTGTAGTGTAATGGTCAACATGCTCAGCGCATATTCGAGAGGTCCAAGGTTCGAGTCCCGGTGAGGGCATTGCTCGTTTTTCATATCTCCTGCTTCGAAATAACCTAATGTCTCTACAGAGTCGCCCGAACTAAAAAAGATGGTGTATGATGATTCTCCACCACCAGGATTTGGCGACTGGGTTCCATAATCCCCAGCCGCCCTTTAAAAGGGGAAGTATATAAGGTATGTCTACTGTCTTTTTAGCTTGCCTTCATGGTATAGTGGTCAGTACACTTGGCGTGTATTCGAGAGGTCCATGGTTCGAATCCCAGTGAGGGCATTGCTCATTTTTTATCTTTCCTGCTACTAAATAACCTAATGTCTCTACACTTCAGAGCTGAGAATAGTCTTTTCACACAAACTTCAGTAGGAGGAGGAGCTATTACTGTTAGGGTTACTTCTTTTAACTTTTTAGGATAAATTTGTACAAATTCTGAAAGAAGTGTCTTGCAAGAGCATCAAATTTTCTCTGTTTCTCCAAGACCTGTGTAGAAATCCTGTTTGTATTTTTACTTCCTTGTACGAAGTAAAAAGGAAAGTATCGTAATCGCGAAAAGTTTCAGGCAGCATATTTCAACGAAAATATCCATTTGACTCGCTATCGAAGGCAATTTAACGATGTTTTGCGTGATATTCCTGTACGTAAGGACAGAATAAAATATACTCTTTTCCTCCAAAAAAAAATTATAAAAACTGCTTTAAAATGAATTCTGAAGAGAATTTTCCGTGGCGTCTGTACGAACGTATGCATGTACGTATGTACATATCTCTCATAACTCAAAAAACGAGTAGCCTCAGAGCGTTGAAATTTTGTATATAGGACTGCTATAACATGTTAGATGTGCACCTCGTATTTTGGTTGCAATCGGCCGCACTAAATGTATATAAATATATTTATATATATATATACTCTGTTACCCGGCTCAGTGATCTCAGTTTTTTACTCTTATATGTTTGTACATTGTACATTTTTTGCTTTAAAAATGATTGACTTATGTTGTTCTTATCTTCGGGTTAAGGTTTTTATGCCTTTTTTTAGTAAATATATATGCAGTACTTTTAGAATTATCAAAATTTTAAAGTTGTTTATGTGCCGCTAAGCCTAATAATTTTTTTGATGGCGGCCATTGCTTGTTTACATTTGAAACAGCAGACTAATGGATTTGTTGCCAATCTAGAGAAAACTTAGCTTCGCAACAACAAAGATAACTCCTTCATTTATTACTGCGAATTAAATCATGCTTAATATTTTCTGGAATTTTTTCCAGGAAATAAGTGTTTAAGATTTACTTCATAATTTTTAATACAGATATTTTGAGTTTTTATGTATTTTTGCCTTGTTGCGAAGCGAGAACTGAATTAATTGAAATGAGAAATACTCAATCGTCTGTGAAAAAACTGTTTCTTTTTTGTTTGTTTCCTTAATTTCTTTTATACATCGTTCTAGCTTTATTATGGTATTTGAATAGAAACATGTGGCAACGATTAGATAATTCTTTAAATTATATAATTTTGTGCATTCTGAGTTATAATATGAACAAAATATAATACTGTTAAGTGAACCTAGCGCCAGAGTGTGGCTATGGTAAACAAATAGAGAGAATTTTAAAGAATGCATTTATTCTTCTGTGGTTTATGCGTTGTCGGCGAAGTAGATTTAATTGAATCCAATAAGTTTAAATGAAATGCAAGAAAAAATGCGTATAATTTAATATTCCGTACAAGGAAGTCATGTGATGTGTACACCACATTTTATTTAAATTTATTGGGTTGAATCAGATTTTTTCATTTTTATATCTAAAGTCTATTGTTTCTTTATTTTCATTCGCTTTAGGCCTTAGCCTTTTTAATAGTAGGCAAATATTTCACAAAATCTAATTCACCAATGGAAGATGATAGAGACTTGGTTGCAATATCTGCAGTCTAACTGTCTTGATTTGAATACTCCAGTTGTTCAGAGAATAATTTCATTCTTGGTAAAAGTTCATAGATGGCTTTCTCTTTGCCTTTTTAATTTGTTTATCATCCAAAAAATTTGGTGTTTTAAATCTACATATTTTGAATTCAGCAAGATCTCATTGTCTAGCAAACTTGTTTCTCTTTTTAGTTGAGGAAATGATTCCTTCTGCAATAAAACATGCCATTTTAGAAAGAACAAAGATCACATTTTCCCATTCTCCCAGAAACAAGCCTCCTGTTAATGCTTAAAATTATAGCTTTTCTGTGGCTTTACATGGTGTAGAAAGAAGAGTTTCCAATTCTGCAAGATCATTTTACAGTCTATCTGTTAGTGAAACATTAGTGCTATCTACACATTCTAAAAAAGTTCTTAATTCTAACAACCACTTTCATCAAATATGTATTTCCCCATCATGTTGCTTGATCAATAACTACTCCTTTTTCAGCTCACTACCACATCAATGGCATCATTTTTGGAAGTCCTTACTTGCTATTGCTGCTTGCCCAAAATTTAACAATGAAATCTGTAACATGGACACCAATGAGATTAGTAGCATTTGATGCATTTTGCAGCCATGGGCTCCTTTTTCTTGTTGTGAATTATCCTGCAATAATGCCATCTATGATCTGAAGAAGTAGCTAAATGAACCAAATTAATTAATAATGGCAAATATCACATCCATCCTCCTCCCTTATATATATTTATTAATATATCAATCAAATGGAAAATAACTAAATATTATTAATGTATATAATTATTAAATAAAAATAATAACTCTGTTTGTCATTAATTTTTTTTTTCAATTCACTTTAATTTCATTTCAAATTAAAAAGTCTAACAAAAACCGATCTGTTTTTAGAGACTCCAGTTCCAACTCCTTCTTTCCAAAAATATGGCTAACTGTGATTCCAACTCCAGAGCCTTGGAATTTTTAGAAACATACAAGATATATTGGTAGCAGGTTATCTCTGTTGAGAATAATCAAGCCCATTTGGGAGTTTAATCCAAGAATCTTCTATAAGAGCAGCATTCAGATTACTTGGATGCCATACTGAAACATTGTGGCACCCACAGCTGTTACAATATGATTTAAATGTTTTAGATGTCACTGAAATAACAATAATCTAATTCTGTCCATTTTTTACTGAATGTTTCTACTTAACATCATCTTTCCAACTTTTTTCCAAGCTAAAACATTCAGCAAATTTTTAGATTAGGATTCAAATTATAAAAATAAAACTCTATGGTAAAGTTTTTAAACTTCTTTTAAGATTCGTAAGGTCTGAAAATTCAGATATCAAATCCCGAAAAAAAAAAAAAAAAAAGGTAACTGATAATCCATATTGCCATTTAAAGAATTAAATCAGTTACTTAGAGCTAGGTTTATCTCAGTATGTCGACTATATGTATGAAAAAAACTAAATTTTTTTTTGTGCAAAATGCTAAAAATGTTAATGAGTCATTTTAAAACAATTAGCTTTCTCGAATAGCATGTATACAAGACAATTTAGCTCAGAAGGTTCTCCATGAAGGTATCCCTTCCCTTAGGATGATAATTTTTGTGTGTTTGGCCATATTTAAATAAGCAAACAAGCCAAAGAAACAAGCCTTTCTCAAATACAAATTTCTTAGTACCATACACTATCCCATTTTGAATGCTTTAACTGTTTCCAGAAGATTTCATATTAATTAAAAAATTAATAAATGTTTAATAAAGTAAACAAATAAATATTAAACTTTTTTTGTAAATTTTGATACCCTTTAGATCATAATTGCTCTTTATTTCATAAATTATGGTTTCATATTTTTTATTTTATAATTTTTGCATGCCATCTTACCAGATTTAAATTGATGATCTATAATCCGGAAAAACCGATAATCCAGAATCGCCAAAGTCCCGACGAGTCCGGATTAAAACTTTTGACTGTATTTCATTAAAAAATTCAAAGAATCTATGCTACTTTGTAATGAAAGTTATGACTGTTATTATCATCGAAACCATCATCATTCTTTTTATTATTGTTATTATCACCACCACCACCATCATCATCTTTTTTTTATGATATGATGTGAGACGGGCTAAGGAAACTAACCTGTGTAACACTCTTATGGGTGTTTTTTGTTGTATCTTCAGATCTTTCAAAAGTAATAACTTATCAACATCATTTTGTGATAAGGTCTTCTTGACAATACAAATTGCAGAATATGTTTTCCGCTTCTGTTCTTCTCCTTCTTTCAAAAGCAATGTGTCCTGCCTTTAAAATAATAATAATAAAATGGGTATATGAATTAATACATGATGAATAAATGATAAAAAGTTAAATACTGCATTACTGCAGTAAGTGATTTTAATGAAACAGATCACGCAGAGATATTGACATTTTACCATATTTTCAAAAATTTGCCTCTATTATAGTAATATCTGCATTTTAAAAATTCTTGTACTAGTCTTGAAAGTGATAATTTTATAACCTTATATTTACTCATATATTCCTTCCCTACAGAATTTTCCCCTTTAACGTTTTGATGTATAACATAGAAATGTTTGATTTGCGTGCTTAAAATTTAACCTAAACACTGACTAATACTTTTAATATAATGGAATGCTTACTATGGTACAAAAGGAGCAGTTGCCTTTACAAGGAATAGACAGCATCCCTTTAACTACTGGCAAATATACATCAATTAGTTAACATGGATTTGCCCAACCACTAGTGAATGCACATCAATTAGCTAATGTGGACTTGCCCAACAGATAATGACATTTGTACCTCGAACGAGCTGTGGGATCTTCTAGTTTTGTGCAAATTTCAGCAAATGCTATTTATTACAACATGTTGTTAAAATATGAGAGTTATAATGATGGAAATCAGCTATGTTATGAATTTTTTTAATATGTTGTGATAATTCGGATTAAAGAAAAGTAATGGCACTGAAAAAATTTTTTATTTGAAATATTGCATGAATAGTTTTGAAAAAAGACTTCCCTTATCAAATTACTTTCAGATTTGATTCTTTCTAAATATGGCTTCCTTTTTACCTAAAAGTTTTTTTTTTTTTCTTTAAATTATTGTATTTTTTTAATTCACTAAGTTTGTAAGACCTAACTTAAATATAGAAGTTATGTGTCTTAATTTGATTTTTTGTATATTTGTTTTTATTTCAATTGTGTAGTTTGAAAAATTTTATGTCCATAAATCATAATTAGTAACTTTGATATATTTATATAATGCTAAAAAACAGTTACATTGCAAAAATAGAGGTTTTTAATTGCTATTGTATTCAAGAACCCCACAGGCATCAGCAAAATGTTACGCTGATTTCTTTGTGAGGACTTGCCCATTTTTATGAAAATTATTTTGTTATTATATTGTATTTCATTAGTTTTCTATGTTATTAATTTCTAAAGTTCTTTTTACATTGCTTTACAATATGAAAATGTGGATTGTTTATAATGAATAAATAATTAATTTTAATAAGATTTCATGATTATGAAAAACAAATTGGGATCAACAATAGCAGTTTTTAAGAAAGACTTTCAAGACAAGGACTGTAAAGATTACATTATGACATTCAACCATAAATTTTCAAGAGCAGTAAATTTTTACGATTATTTCTTGAAGAATTAGGACTCTTAAGACATTTATATTTTCAGAGAAAAATGAATTGCAATCTTTTAAAATGGAACTGAACATTTCTCTAATTTTACTCTAAGTTTTACATTCATTGGTCAAAAATGTTATATTCAAAATTTAGATCAAAATTTTATTTTATTTCAAAATTGTATTCTCCTCCTTTTGCTAATATTCTAATGCTTTCTTTAATAGGCTTTTCTGTCACCAAGCCTTTTTTTATTTGAAAAGAGGAAATACATAAGATATAAAACATGAAAGAAAATTATTAAATTTAAAATAGCAATAGCATCATAATTTCTCATTTTAATTTGAGTATGTCCCCTTTCTATTCTAAATTTCTACAGTGTTTATAATAAATTTTTCTGGACTGCACCTTTTCAAATTAATTCATTTACTACTTGCTTATGAAATATTCTTGCAGTGTGAATGGCTCTCATCCAATTGCAGAGCTCTAAACAAAGGAATCAAAATTCTGCTGACTAACTAAAATGTAACAATACTGTAGATGACCTGAGAACTAGAAAAATCAATGTGTAGATACTTAAGATCATATAACTGCAAAGAAAAATTTAGCAGAGATTTAACACAGTTTTATTTCATGATTAAAAGATTCACATATCATCACTGCGGGTGTGCTATGCACCTCATGATTTTGTACAGCTTCCTTTAGACAAATATGATAAACATCAGTCACAAGAGATGCATGTTGGCAAGCAGTAAGCAAAGTAGGAAAAAAGGGCTGTGCAATAGTAAAAGAGGCATTTATATTAAAAAGTTTAATATGAACGAATGAAAGCTATCAGCATTGCAACATGATTCTATAAGCAAGCATGAATGAATTAATTTGGAAAGACACAGTCCAAAAAAATTATTATAAAGAATTTAGAAGAGAAAGATAAGACCAAATTAAAATGAGGGATTAAAAGTACTATTGCCAAATTAAAGTTAATATTTAATACCTTACATATAAGTCATCTAGAGAATTATTATATATATATATAGAGAGAGAGAGAAACACTATACATATATGCTAAGTTTGACAATACAATTTACAAGAAAAACATCATTTGGTAATTAATAAAAAAGTTAAAAAAATAAAAATAGCTAACACATAAAACTGATTTTGGCAATATTCAAATTATGCTTTACTCACAAATTTTCAGTTTCTAAATATGACAAAGAAATACTCATGACTTTCAGAAACTGATCCTTCTAAGAAATCGGTACTCTTCAACAAAACCAAATAGAGTGATATGGATACAAAATCAGTCAGACCGCACAAGCTCCATGGCAATGATAGACTGATTAATAATATCAAAAACCCCAGTGCCAGAATTGAGATCTAGCATAACAACCTGTGTCAGTGTATACTTTTCACATCATCTACAGGACAGGGGCATCTTTGCAAGGCACCCATTGCCTTTCATTTTTATTGAAGAATTAAAAAGTATATGCAATTAGAATGAAGTTAAAAATGAAATAAAATGCTCTAAGTTGACATAAAGCCACATATAAACAAAAGTAAATAATAATAATAATAATAATACAGAACTTTTGCAGATGACTCATCTGCTTCGTCACCCTGAGCTAACAAAACCATGTTATAAATAGAAGCTTTCTCAGACAATCCATCTGCAATAGATCCTATTTTACTTAAGTTTAAATGTGGTTTTAGCATGCCAATCTAGAACATTTTATTTCATTTTTAATACTAATAATGCAATAAAAAAAGTGTTTGTCGCTGCCATGGTGTTGTGTATGAACACACAGACAAAAAAAAAATGACATGACAGATTTGTCAGGAAATCTCACATCTTTAAATCTACCTAAACCATCACAATGACCATATCTAAATCTGACAGCCCAATGTTGACAAACATACAATTGAATGCATGATGAATTATGCATTGGCATACCATTTTTCACCTGCAGTTATGGTTTGGAGTGCTACTGCATTTTATTCCTGCAACCTGCTGACACATTCATACTTCTCTGAAATTTTGGAACCTGTTATCCACCCTAGATGAAATTTCAACATGCAATCGCATGGGGCACAAAACATTTAATGCACTGTCTTGGCTCGCCCATTCTTCTGGCATGTCATCGACTGAACATATCTGGACAATGATGGCAAATGAATGCTCCAGCTATACACCACCTGTGTTACGGCAGATGAAGTTTGGGTGGTGTATTTGATTATGGGCTAAGCACTTGAGGCCTATCTGACTACAGGAATGGAGGAACCTTCACGGAGGAATTTAAGGGAAACCGGCTCATATACATGTTACTCATGGGGAAAACCAAGTAAACGCCTGTGCAGCCAACCCGTTCTTTGGATTTGAACCTTGGACTGAGATGAATTTCGGTAATGTGAGGAAACAGCATGAACTGACATACCCCAAGCATACATTCTTCTTTAAAAGCTTAAAAATTAGTCACCAAAACCATCACCACCTTGGTGATATCTAGCCAATTTAGGAAAATAGCCATTTACCTTAAAAGATCTCTCTCAGTAACCTCATTTTTCTGGCACAGCTTCATTATCTTCAGGCTTTTTATATTACATTATACAAAATTTGTAACCTTATTCCCTTCCCAAGGACTGCATGTCCCAGGCAGTAAGATTCTTAATCAGGCAACCATACTTATAAGTAAGAAAAATCAATGCAAAACAATAATTTCAATAAATAACATACAGCAAATTAAACATTAATCAATAATTAAATGAATGAATTTACAAATTTATATACACAAAAGACTAGTATACTATTTGGGGACTACGTACTATGGCCGTAGTAGGGCCTAGCTTGTCGTATTGAACGCCTTTTGGCTTAGAATTTGATGACTTATGAATCTAAATTACAATGTCATTCAGCCTGTTGTGTAAGGACTGTCCCAGGATGACAGTAATTTAGCAGAAAGTCCTTTCCATCGAATGGGAATCCATAACCACACCTTGTAACCTTTACTTGAATTGTCCTGTAGCTCTGGTGCCATATTGGGTCTCCATCTACTCCACTGCCAAGCTGTATTACTTTTCATACAAAACTGTGCATCACTTCAAATTGTGCCTGAAGATTTTCAGTGTACTTCTTAGGCGATGAAGGTGCATCCAGCGGGCAACGAAACAAGAGATCACAAGCCAGACAGAAGTCACGACTGAAAAGTATCAGAGACAGGGAATAGTCAGTACTCTAATCGATAGCACTGCAAAAGGCCAGTTAGAACACAGGTAACATCTGGTCCCAGTCCTGTTAGTTTCTAGAAAGTTGGTTTTGAAGTGGCCTCTGGTTGGACTGCTGTGTAGTTCTTTAACCCTTTCAGGGGCGGTATATAAAAGAATTTAAATTGTGGTAACATTTTTCATGAATTGTAACTTATGGACCCTAAGAACAATTAAAACTTGAAAAAAATCCACAGTGAAATCTTGAACTTTGAGGGCCAGTATTGGTTTTAGATCGGTGCCCCTGTAAGGCATTTTTTTCCCAAGCAGCTGCCAATTGTTAGCCCAAATTGTTTGCCAAGAAGGGATATTAATTTTGCTTTGGCATTTTGCATCAGTCACTGTAAAACTGCATTTCACTTTTCAAATTGTTGTCAACAAATATTAAAGTCCTGCA